TGTTGTTGTTCGCCATAGTGACCTGATATCGATGGCTGGTGTCCATTTCCTGTGTCACTGTTTCTTATTCCATTTAGGTATAATCTATTAATAATGTCGATGGTGGTTGAGGTGGAGATTGTTGGCGGGAAGCAACCTCCCCTTCCCACTTAGGACGCCTTCTTTTTTTCTTTCTTTTTTCTTTTTTTAAAACCATTTTTTTTTTTTCCTTTTTCTTCTTTTCTTTTTCCTTTTCGTTTGGCGGTCGGATTCTTTTTTTTTTTTCCTTCTTCTTCTTTTTTAATCCCTCCCACCGCTGTCTCCTACCGTTGGCCCCATGCCTCATACAAGTGTCACTGTTTGTATTTGGAAGAGGGTAATGGCAAAGAGGGACATAATGACAAGTGGCCAATAAGGTGATTGACATTCTAAATTTACCCACACCCATCTCTCCGATTTCATCCCTCCCTCCTGTATATCTTCCTCTCTTTCTATATCTGCACGTTCACATCTATTTATCTATCTCGTTCTCTTCATATGTACATATCTATCTATTAATCCTAACTGTGAGTTATTCTCTCCCTCTCTCTCTCTTTCTCTTAGTCTGTTCTTATGTATTTATCTCATTCTGTTCATATTTATCTGTCAGTTTCTCTCTCTCCTCGCACACTGTCCTTATCTATCCTCAATATGTTCGTATCAATTCTGTCAGAAAATTGTCCAAAGTTCATTTCGAAATAAATATGATAGATAGATAACATATTCCGTTCATATCTATCTATCTATCTATCTATCTATCTATCTATCTATCTATCCCAGTCTCTTCATATTTATCTATCTATCCATTCCAGTCTCTTCATATCTATCTATCTATCCATTCCAGTCTCTTCATATCTATCATCTATCTATCTATCTATCTATCTATCTATCTATCTATCTATCTATCTATCCCAGTCTCTTCATATCTATCTATCCCAAGCCTGTTCATATCTATCATATCTATTCAATCTATCTGTTCTATCTTCTATCTATCTATCTATCCATCCTATTCTATCTATCTATCTATCTATCTATCTATCTATCTATCTATCTATCTATATATATCATATATATATCTATCCATATATATATATATATATATATATATATATATATATATATATATATATATATATATATATATATATATATATATATATATATATATATATATATATATATATATATATATATATATATATATATATATATATATATATATATATATGTATGTATGTATGTATTGTACGCATTAAAGATCGAATTTTACCCATGGTTAGAGACTTACATGATGTCTCCTTGTTTAAGTTGGTCAATGCTGCCATAATCCTTGCCTTCAGTTCATCTTTGTTGTCACAAGGTTTTATATATATATATATATATATATATATATATATATATATATATATATATATATATATATATATATATATATGCTCCTCAAAAATTTATTTTGGTTGAACTCTCTGGGGAGGAAGTGGGGTTTGTAAACAGTGACTATTACAGTTAATAATGCAAGACTCTTTGGTAAATCACTGTGTTTATCTAAAAATAAATACGCTTAAATTCACCTTCATCAATGGCTTAGTGGTAGAATCACCCCGACTGATGCCAATTCAGTCTGGTTTCGATCCTAGCTGGAGGCAACCGGACGTCTAGCTACGCTGATGAACTGTGTTACAGCCAAACAGTTTGTTTGTGGATGACAATAATAGTTAATAAAAATGAACACGCTACCACCCCTGTCTGAATGATTGGATTTCTCTGTATCCCTGGAAATTATGAATTTATATGTGCGTTTAAAACTCAGGGAATTTAAAAACAAGTTAATCCAAAAATCGCTTGAAGAAGAAACAGAACTAATGCTTTTAATTTAATTATATAATTAAATTTGAAGTTGTTAGCTTCATTTTTTGAAACAGGGTTATTACTGTGTAGCGAATAAACCATATCGTAAATCAGTTAATTTTTAATATATATATATATATATATATATATAGAGAGAGAGAGAGAGATAGATAGATAGATAGATAGATAGATAGATAGATAGATAGATAGATATATTATTCATACATGTATATACCGAGTGTAACAGCAAAATCGTGTTATGGCATAATCGTCCACCCCACAAAATGTTTAATATCTAAAAGACCATTAAACTAATTGGGTTTCTTTTTCCAGGTTTTCAGATAAGACGGTTAGCCATCTTGACACCATTTGTCGTAAGAATCACTGAAAAACCCTTTGAGTTATTCAGCTAGAAAGAGAACAGATTAAAATCGTTTTGTGTCAGCTCCACTATATCTTCCCAACTGAGCAATGGTGAGAGGAAAAAGATTATTCAAACCTTCAGTAATGGTGCCAACATTCATACTCTGGCTTCCATCTTCAAAGTCCATTCAAGAACCATCAAGAGAATGGTGAATAAGTTTTAAAAAGACTGAACAGTAGAGAAGAAAACTGGATCAGGAGGTCACATCAGCAAGAAGGATCATCATTTCAAATTAGAGCTAAATACATTCTTATTGTTCAAAATAGAGTCCAATAGTGTTATAAAAACGTTGTAGAATTCCAGTAAGATATCTTTAATCATTTCTAAGATACAACAGTATCAAATTTTAATTTAACAATTGGACAATTTTACTGTTACACATGTTATACATACATACATACATTTATATATTATATATACATACATATGAGTACATGATTTATAATTCCGACACGAACTTAGTCTATACCGGGGTTGAATAACACTGAAAAATTATATAAATAAGATTATTCCCCACATGAGGTGATTTTGGATGTCATTGTGTATTAATTATATTGCTCTGTATGTACTGATAAATACACTGACCTATTTTGTGGATCAGTTTTAACATTATATATATATATATATAATGTTTTTAGTGAATAAAAGTGTTTGAGTAGAGATCTGTTTTTTTAAGCATGCTAATTAACACCAGTCTGGGTTTTTCAAGAGCCTTTAATGAAGGAAATTGACTATTTGATCCTCGCTTCGCGTGAGGTCCTTTGTGATTGAATGTCTAAAAGCAAAATCGCCTATACGCTGATTTCTCCAACATAAGGGAACACAGGTTCAAACCCAACCAAAAGGCGCATTTTAATTACCGTATTTAGGACGCACTGGGGGTATAAGACGCACCCCAATTTCAGCAGGGAAAAAATCAAGAAAAAATTAGTAATTAGTAAAATTTTTAGTAACTGGTAGAGCCTAGGGTATATTTATGAGATATTATTTTGGTTAAACGAGTCGTGATTACAATTAAACGAAAAATAAAATAATAGGAAAAAAAGAACACAAGCCTATGAAAACTTTATTATATCCAAAGGTAAGAAAACAAAATAAAAATCAAGCAAGTATTACAATTGAGCAAAACAGTACAGTTACCATTAAAATTTAGTCAAAAATCTTCCTATATATGATCTGTACAACCTGCGTCTTGTAAATGTCTTATTGGAATATTTAGGACATAAAAATTCTGATTGTATTTATACCAATGCAACCAGAAGTTATCACAAGAAAAATATTAATGAAACAAATATATTTTACAAATATATAATTTGAATTAATTGCATATAATTTTAGTGAAACAAAGTACTACTATTAAACGTGATGAAATTAATATAATGAATAGTATCAATTATAACACTTTTAATCTGCATAACAAACAGCCTTTTAAATAATAACAATAGGTATATGACAGTTACTCTAAAGTCTAAGCTTATAGGAGTTGCCAGGTAGCTAATTTCGGCCGACTATCGCGAATTTTAAACCTACATATGGAATATAAGACGCAGGGGAATTTTCAAATATATTTTTAGTAAAAAAAAAAAAAAGTGCGCCTTATATACCGTCAAAAAAGGTAGATATCAAGTTTTCTGTTTAAAAAGCGGAGACGTCCGCGCAAACATGCATTTGCTAATATAAAATCTCTAATCCCTATTTCGTGTAGTTTTCATTAAAGACTACTGACAAGCTTTTTTTTTTAAGCTTTTTTTTATTTTATTAAATTTTTTGTTCGTATATTTTTTTTTTTCAGGACAAATAGTGCATAAAAACTGTCCAAATGTTCTATATATCCGAGGGCTTTCACTTTGTGGTCATGTTCATAGTTGAAATTATTGTGTGTTGGCTCAATAATATCAACCTTGAACACGGCCACAACAGGCTGACCGTATTTGGAAAATAAAAAAATAAACATTTCCATCACTATAAATACACATATATAAAAATGTATATATTCAGTTAAAAACAAAATCCTTGATAATGACTTATAGAAAGCTCGAATATACTGAATGAGGCAAAAGTGTTCACTGATATATATATATATATATATATATATATATATATATATATACACACACACACATATATATATATACACACACACACATATGTATATATATGTGTGTGTGTATATATATATACACACAGATATATATATATATATATATAGAGAGAGAGAGAGAGAGAGAGAAAAGACAGAGTCAAAGAGATAGATATGAACAGACTGAGATAAATATGATGAGACTGATAAAGATAGATAGATAGATATATATATATATATATATATATATATATATATATATATATATATAATACATGAATCATTCATACAAAAACAAATATATAGATTCATGTAATTATAAATTAAACTGCACCTATAATCGAAATTAAATATATATATATATATATATATATATATATAGAGAGAGAGAGAGAGAGAGAGAGAGAGAGAGAGATAGATAGATAGATAGATAGATAGATAGATAGATAGATAGATAGATAGATGAGGCAAATATCGCGTACGGTACGGATGATTTATTAAAAGTATGATTACACATGAAATTTTTATTTACCAGTTATTTGATTGTTATATGTGCTGTTCAAAATGGCTTCCTTCTTTTTCAATTCCTTGCCTGCCTGATTCGTTAACATGTCGGAAAACTTCTCCGTCATTTTACTGCATTCATATTTAATTCTTTAAGTTCCCCAATACTTTTTATTTTATAAACAAATGGTCCCACAGGAAAAAAAAAATCTAATTCTTTCCAAATTCAGATGAAGATTGGTAAGTTTGTGCGTGTGTTTAAATAAGTTCTCATAGAGCCGTGGGTCAGATAGGTGAACGTAAAGCATGTAGTTGTGTGACCAATGTAATTATTTATAAGTTCGGTTTGATCAGGAACACAGTTCCTTAAGGGGCATTCGAACTCATAAATTAATGTTCGTTCGTTGTTATTTTGATTTTGCTGCTGTGTTGTTATTTTTGAGGATAAGGTTAGCTGTCTTAAATTTTTTGTAGTAGATATTGAATTTGATTTTTTTTTTTATTCGGGTCAATTCGAGTCCATCCGAAACATGCGAGTAGAAAACACATAATAATAAGGATCGTTCGGTTGGCAGTAAATTCGACCTTGTCAACCGAACGATCCTCTGTGGCCGAATCGGTAAAAAGGCACGTCAGGCTATATGACGGTTCCGTATAGGATACTGGTTCGAATCCTGTCGGAGGACGAATATATGATGATTTCTCGGACATTCAGGCCGGTAAATGTTGTTTAATACTGTTTATTATAAATAGATCATTTATTTAAATATTTGTATCTCTAAAAAGAATGTTAAACATAAAAATGTCTTTAAATAATTGTCAGACAATATATATATATATATATATATGTATGGAGTAGTGGATAGTGGCTGGGATTGTGAGTCAGTTTTAACATATTCAAAATTCTATCTTGTGTTAATAGGGCTCATCTGGATTATACCAACGGATTTCTATCTATATCTATATATATATATATATGATTCGCTCACACATATATGACACATCAAGGTGTCATATATGTGTGTGTGTGTGTATATATATATTTGACACCTTGATTTTGGGTGATAAATAATGTGTGAGCGAATCATTAAAATATGAGTAGAGCACTTGCTGTCACTTCAAATCTATGGCCTTGCACCAGACTATCTTGAGTTTAGTAAATAATTCCTGCGGGTACTTTGTCGTGGCGTAGCGGTTAGCAAATTTATTTCATAAATAATCCTCGATGAGTGGTTCAAAATTTGTCTTTTGCACTGAAAACTAAGTATCGTAGAAAATTATTCTGAAACTAGATACAAACCCAGAATAAGTCAGCAGAAAATTAAAATGCCTACCATCCCACTCCACCCACCAAAAAAAAAGCAAAAAAAAAAACAATATTTTGTTAAAAGTTTGTGTAGTCTGGAACAAGGCCATACATGTGGGGCGCCCAGTGAGAATTTATTATATTTATTAAGGTTATCTTTCTGGGACGGAAAGTGGAGTCGGCAAATCGAGTTCGAGTACTGGACTAGTTTGTTGCATTCATTTTTGCACTTATGGCTCTAGGAAAAGACACTAATCCATTTCTTCTCTTTATCAAGCTTTGGTTTTCAAATAGCCGGTCAGACTAGGCTCCCCGGTCTAGCGGAAGGATTACTTTTTCGATTCCAATCAAACCCTGGTTAAAAGTCAACGAGAAACCACTTATCTTTTCCAAGAATACATGGCAATTCATAGATAATTAAGAGAAGGGATCTGTGGAGAGTTGTGATCGCCTGCGATAAAAACAAGTTATATGCCATGCGTGACACACGCTTAGGCGATCATGTATCTTTCGATACATGACTGACGAGGCAGATTTTTTTTTCCCCACAGATTTCTTTCTGTGGTAGACCAGTTGTCATCCAAGGCTGTAGAACCCAGTCTGTCCTGCTATTTACCCAAAGCTGAAGGCGGAGGGGGGGTAGAAGAAGAGTATTCATACCTTTCCCAAGTGTATTAATTAGCACGTAAGTGGATGTAATGTATTCGACTGGAATTCGAACTCGGCTTTCCGATTCCTCAGTCCAAGCCGTTATCCATCATTATTATTAGTAGTAGTAGTAGCAGTAGTAGCAGCAGCAGCAGTAAATGTCATTGGCGTGAAAGAAATACAAAACTAAGAAGAGTTAAAAAGAAAGAAAGAAAAAAAAAGAAGGAAACAAACAAACAAGACAGGAGAGAAAATAAATAGTGAGTTAAAAAAGAGAAGAAAAGAGAGAGACGAATAGAAAGGACCATTTGAAGATAGCAGCGTTTCAAAAGCTAAAAATGTCCCAAAAATGAAGGCATTTCATAATCATTGGATAATAATACGCAAAAAAAAGCAAAAGACAAAAATAACTGTTGAGAAAGGAAAACAAAGATATTAAAAGAAAAGTCCCCGCCTTTTTTGTTTTTTTATAAGCACATCTTTTTTTTATATGTTTTTTTTGTTTGTTTGTTTTAAGGACGAAACTAAACTAAGGAATAAAAAGTGAAAGAAAGAAAGAAGAAATAAATACATTTTTTTTGTTTTTAAGTCAGCTTAGGCCAACCTTTTTACCGACCGACCGACCAACCAGTTAAAGTTAACTTAAAGAAACGGGAGATAGAAAGCCGTTAACATCTAAAATTGTTACAGACAGACAGCTAGCTAGCTAGCTCAATAGACCTGAGATAGATACAGATTTTCTAAGCCCGGCTTAGATGTAGCACAAAGCCGAAAGTATAGGGCACCCAGTGAGGATCGAACTCACTACTCAGTCGTAATTGTTCTAGCAAGGCAAGCTTTCTAACCATTACACCACATCGAGGCGCCCCAGATCGATAGATAGATAGATAGAAGAACAGACTGATAGCTAGCTAGCTAGAACAGACTAGAACAGACTGATAGATAGATAGATAGATAGATAGATAGATAGATAGATAGATAGATAGGCAGGCAGGCAGGCAGGCTGACTGACAGACCCATTGACAAGGGACCTCTTTAAGCAAATTTCGGATCTATGTAGAACCCTCGAGGGCAGGGCTCCTACCAGGAAAACCTTAACTTTCTCTAACCCCACCCACAATTTACATAGACACAGACACACACACACGTACATGTGTGTGTGTGTGTGTGTGTGTATGTAAAAATGCCCAAGTAGAAAGAATCTCCGCTGAAAAAAAAAGAAAAAGAAAAGAAGTACTTGCCTTCACGTCCGCCGCCTGTAAACACTGGGGGGCGAAATAATGGGGTTTGTACTCACGACGTTGTTTGCTTTAATCAAAGAGAACGAGAGTGAAAGGAAAGTTTACTACTGCAAGACAACAGACCCAGGAGGGTCTTTTTAAATGAAAGTAAAGAATAGAGAAGAAGACAAAATAGCAACGAAAAAAAGAAGAAAAAAAAAACATCTATATTTATTTACAAAGCTTACTGATTATATGAATTATTGTGTAAAAACCGTGAAAAAGGATTTACAACATAGACGACCTGAACAAAGGAAGGGTATTGTTCTTTTTTTCTTCTTTTTAAAATCGTTAAATGCACGAATTATTATTATTATAATCATAATAATTATTATTATTATTATCATTATTATTATTTAACATTGTTTTTATATTAATTTTAATTTACTCTCAATTTTGTTGGTATATAAAAACGCGCATTTAAAAAAAAAAACAACTACTTTTGCCGTGGTTAGCAAGCTTGTCTCGTGTAGATCAATCACGACTGAGAAGTGAGTTCGATCTTAACTCGGGGCTCCATATTTTCTCCTTGTGCCACATCGAAGCTATTCTTAGTAAAATCGCTATATTGACACCCTGTGTGATGGTATTATGACTAGGGGGTCGATTACTGATGATCGAAATGGACATTTACGGGGATTTTAGATGCGTCGTCGCTGTTTTAGTAAACGATAGTCTCCCCAAAATGTGCCCTTCTTTTTAAAGTTAAAAAAAAAAAAAACAAGCGGTCTGGGTTTAACAAAAACGTAATAATTTATAAATTTCTACCGCAAAAATAATAAAAATGAATATATCGTTTATATTATCACACGTCATCTAAGTTTCTAGTTTAAGAAAAAAATGACTGGAAATGTAACTTAGCTTCGAAACAAGCGACCACTAACAACGAAATCATTTAGTTTTTTTATGGTTTTTAAAAACACACAAAAAACCGTGTCATGAAAAAGTGGTCTTTTTAAAATCAAAATATCACTTGTACGGAAAAAAAAAATAACTTCAGTTTGTGGGGAATAAAAAAAAATATTTTTTTTTATTTAAAATAGGCAATAATTTTTATTTTAATAAAATAAATGTTTTACTTTTAAATTTAGGAGGATTCTTCACAAAAACACGATATACCTATCGAAATAAAATTCATTTTCAATAATGAAAAACATCTTTCTTTTATTTTGTTAGATTTTAAATTTAAAATCCATATTTAATTTATTTTTATAGTAAAAAAATATTTTAAATCAGCTAAAATGTTTCTAAATTAAAGAAACATATTTTAAATTTTTAATAGACAAAAATAAATCAGTTCAGTTATTCCTTCATATATTTGGTGTCAGCTTTTTTTTTTGTTTGTTTGTTTTTACAATGTTTCCACAGATTCTTCTAGAATCTACACTTTGTGTATATTGGCTTAGAATATGAGGCTAGTTTTAAAATATCAAAGTGGTAATATAAAACAAAGCATATTTGGTGTGTGGAAATTGTTTGAAACTCTAAATTTAAATAAACGTTATCTAAAAAAAAAAGAGGTACCCTAATAAATTTCTGCTTTTTTTTAAAAAATCGATTTTTTAAAAGACAAAAAAAACAAACTTTTTTTAGTTACAAATAACAATTGATGCGTTGCTTAACGAACTTCTTTTTAACCCTAAAATTAATTTAAAATGTATTAAACAAAGTTAATAATTTTTAAAAAGGTTAACTTAATGATACTAAATTAATCAATTTTCTTAAAATATTAATTAATATTTTAATATTACTCGTTTTTAATTACTATCACGAAATGAAATTTCCTAACTTCTTCGTTCAAAAATGTGACTTTTTTCTGTTGCTTTTTTTCCGACCACACACAACCGAATCATTTTGTCTTTCGAGAAAACGTCAAAAAAATGTAACCAGAGAAAGCCTCAAGTGGCTTTTCCAGATGCTTAAACACTAACTTACACTACAAACACAATTAATTTAATTTACAATTACAATTACATCTATAAATTAAAAGTCGTATACGTCTAAATTAGGAATAAGTAATGGTCTCTCTTTTATGTTCTTTCAAGACCTAGGCGATCATGGCTCTCCACAGGCTCCTTATTTTTCTTCGTTATCCGTGAATTGATACGCATTCTTGTGAAGTGTAGTGGGTCGTTTACTCGTTGTTGTCATCTTCTCCACAGGGTGAAAATGCAGCATAATCCCCCACCCTGCGCGTTCAAAAAAAAATAAAATAAATAAGTTCAATAAAATGTGAGCACATTTCATTGATTTTTTTTTTTTTTAATAATTTGTGACAGCAAACACAACTTGAAATTTCCTGGTTATGTAAAAATGTAATATTTTTATCAATAATACATGTGAATGACGTCACTGGGCCACATTTTTTCAATTTTTTACTCCTAGATGCTATAGCCCAACATATACTATTTTGGAATCAGGCCGACTCCGAGAGCAAATTAAAAACATTCCGGGTCGGATCCGGACCTGCAATCCTGAAATTTGGGATTCTCAAGTTTCCATTAGTGAGATTGTTTTCAGCGATTTTTTTTACGTGATTTTTTGCGACGAATTTTTTTGTACGATAACAATTTTTATAACTTGGAAGTAAATTTGGGAATGATCGAAATCAATTGCGAAATCCAGCAAAAGTCAAAGCAAAAAATTGTTTGAACGGAAAGTAAGGACCTACGTACATCAAACTGCCTTTAAATTAAAATGGCCGCAGAAGAATTATCGTTGTACTTTTAAGGTAAGCTTGAATATTAATCATTTACTTGATTTCAGTGAGGAAATGAAAGAAAGAAAAAAAGAAGTGAAGAGAGAGAGAGAGAGAGAGAGTGAGTGAGAGAATCAGATTAAGCTGATAAGAACAGATACTACACTTTGATCTCATCCCAAAAGGCCGAGAAGCGTTTGTATTTTCTTGCCACCCCACACTGATAGGATGTAAGACAAGGTCAATTTAATGGGAGGGGGGGGTCGCCAGGCCCCACAACCATTGGTTTCGCTTGCATCGGTATTACTACCGACTCACCCCCTCCTTAGTTGCAAAGAGGGGGGGACACTGCTGCGGGCACCTGTTACCCCGATACGGAGCACTTCTCAATAAATAATATTTTCAGTTGCGCTCTGTTCGAAGACAGACATACGGCTGAGAGCTGAAATATAGTTTGTCCGCGAGTGTATCTTCTTGCCACGCCACGCTGGCAAGCTGTGACAAAAGGTCAGTTTAAAAAAATGTAATGAATTTGGGGAACCCGCGCGCGTTAACCCGAGCCAGTTTCACAAATGACCATCCCCTTCCCCCGACAATCGTCGGTCTATTTTTGGACCTGGCCCTTTTGAACGTTCACGCGGTCTGGCGACCGCGATAAAAACGGCATTTTTTTCGGACGCACATTGTCGAACGACGGAACTCAAATAAGGCAATCGCCAAAAGTCAAGTTACTATAAATTAAATAATATCGTCTGCTGAGTTGTTGTTTTTTTTTAAATTATTATTAAGATAAGTGTTCGTAAGATGTGGATTTGGCTAATCAATTATATTTTATACAATATTAAGATTAATTAACAAGATTAAGTATAAAAGGCCATTCGTCTGCTATCATAATTAAAGCATATCCACATCTTAAGGTGTAGAGGAGTTTTCTGCGGTCTGATGGAGCATTCCTTTTTGTTTCAAGTGATTATTCATAATTATAAATTATGTATGTGTAAATAAATAGGGCATAAATTTATGAGTACTAAATAAGTGTCTGTGTCTCTGTTCTTTATTAATGTCTCAATTCGACATTGGGGACTCTATATATAGTACAGTGCCCGGGAAAATTCGGTAATTTTGACAAGGTAGGAAAATCCGGTAACTTTGAAATAAAAGTTGATTAAAAATTGATTTTAGAGCCGTTCTGGTGTAGGGATTTGGGGGCTAAGCGCCCATCTCGTATATTTTTTAAATAGAATGAGACTATATAAATATAGCTTTTCCTTCTTTAAAATCGTCCTGGGTATGACGTTAAACTACGTCCAACAGCAGTGTGAGCTGTATAGGTGAGTACAATGTTTTATATTTCTTTAAGGCATGGACTACCAGGAATCCCTTCATTGAGTCTATCGGGCCCTTTTCCAATCAACCTGAGGGCTCCAACTACAACAGAAATTATTGATGTCCTCATGTGTCACAATTTTGAGATTTCCTTTTCAAGATCCTTGTATTTTGATAATTTTTAAGATCTTCAAAGGCACATTAAAATCTGTAGGAACTACCATGTTAATAAGAAATCACATTCTGTTTTTACGGTCTTTGATCACGATGTCTGGACGATTAGCTTTGATTGTTCTGCCTGTGTTTATTTTATTATTATTATTATTATTATTATTATTATTATTATTTCCTTATTATGTCTGTTTGAT